GAGTGTCCGAGTAGACGGACCTTCTGCGACAGGGAGCGCATCCTATTTAGACAAAGTCTTATAGGTACAAAAAAGGTGCTCGGACGGAATCCAGGACCACAATTGTCGGCGTCGCTAGTCGCTGCAAACGCGCACTCGCGCAGTTGTTTCACAAGAATGCTGGGTTGTGAACAAAACTTTCGCCCCAGGCGGGACTAGAACCCGCACCTCTCGCTTTCCGGGCAAGTGCGCTACCAGTTACGCTACCGGGGCACCATTTCATTCCAACTCAGCTTTTTTTAAAACAAGCTCTTAGCAACTTCGTTTGTGTATGCTTTATATTGGGTTGGAGCATAATATCGTAGAGCTTGCGTTTTCCATTTTTACACACAAACGTCTGAAGCAAAAAAGAGGTGTTCACCTCCTCATTAATTACGACTTTTATTCTGTTCTTCAGAAAGTCACCGGATTTAGAAAAAAAATCTTGCGCCCGCACTCGAAGTATTCACTATTCTCAATTTGTATGACGAGGTGGTTTTAATTTGAGCAATCTTTTTCTTTATGTGAACTGAAAAATAACAGCTGTCGAAATGCCGATTTCTGCCGTCTGGATTTTCCAACTTCTAAGCATTATGTATGAGTACAAATATAATTTTGAGGGAAATGACGAAGTATGTTTTTGTAGAGCGAAAAAAAAGGCATTTTCAAATGGTATACGCGATTTTTCGGGCTTCACTTATACTGACTGAATTTATAAGCTCGAATGCTTCGACCCAATACATCTGCTTCGAGGTTAGGTTGTTAGGTGGGGGAATTTTTTCTGATCAACGTTCCTACTATGCTGCTGTTTTCAAATGCCCAAACATGGCTCGAGGCTTAAGATTGTACACTATCTTATCGAACGCCCACTACCCGCTAGCGTTTCTTAGGTGCTGTCAGGATAGAGTTAATATAAAGGCAGAAACAATATCGAAAATGCTGAGGTTTCAAGACTAGAGAACTTGAACTCTATCACAAAAAATACCGCTCTCAAGAAGATAGCGTTGGAAGTTTTTGCAGCTCACAACTTCTATCGTGAGAGTATGCAAAGCTCCTTGATCAGGATTAAAAACCTTTCAGGAATGAGTGGTTAGGAATTATGGAACAGGGAAGCTACTTTAGCTTTTAAGCTTCATGGGTGGGCTTGAAGAGAACCGTGCCAAAATCACTTCGCCTACAAACTGTGACAGCGCATTAGGATAAAGCGTAGTTTCTGGATCGGTTTCCATTCCTTTGCTGCGAAAAAGATTTCTAAAAAAGTCAAAAAGTGCGGAAGGTCATCGAGTGGCATTCACGCCGGCGGAACTGTGTGAAGCCCAAGCGAGCTCATTTGCTTTCAGATGTATTAGGTTGATGCATAATGATTGCGGCCCTTTTCAACAAATTTTATTCAGCGAAACGATAAAAATATTAACAAAAACATGTTTAAATGATTATTCCGGAGCGTAGTCACCATCCTTCAAGAATGCTTCCCATTTGCTTGGCAGTCGGTCGATTCCACGGTGAAGAAGTCACGATTCTTGGAGACGATCCACGCTCTAACATCGGCCACCAAGTCATCCAGCTCGTCGTAAATTTTGTTCGTTTGCCAGTTTTTCAACGACTGATTGAAGTGGTAGTCTGTAGGAGCTTCGGTCGGTAAATGTGGCGTTTTGAACCTCTTGAACCATCTTTCAACTTGGCTTTTGCTAATTGTTCCCTCGCCGAAAAGTTCGTTGAGATCGCGAAATGACTCTGCCGCCTTCCAACCTTTCTCGAAGTGGTAGAGCATATGTGGCGAATATGAAGATGATTTTCGATAAGCATTTCTGTTAATGAAAGAGAGAAGAATATTTTCATGAAAAATAATAAACAAAACGCCAATCTTTTCGAAAAGAAGACGCGAAAAAATCCAATTTATGCATCAACCCAATATTAATTTACCTTCCTGAAAACGCTGGTGGCGACCAGGGGTGAATATCGGTCGAGGAAATCCTCGACAGGGGGGTCGTACCTGTTGGGCTGGTCCATGGGGGGTCGTACTCTTGGGGGTCAGTAACAGAAGTGGTATCATGGTGCAGATAGGTAATAGGGTATAGCGCAGCAGAAAATGAAAACATCCGAAAAAAACATGATATTAAATTTTCTTTGCAGGTTCAGTCGCTCCATTCCTCCACCTTCATGAGAAGGGCGTATTTGAAGGCAGTACAAAGAATGAAAGTGCATCCCCGCAAAGAAGAGTGCCACATGTGCGCACGCGCTGCAAAGGCACCTCCTCCGCCTATCACTCGCTCCTTCTCCCTTAATACCTCGCTGAGAATGACGCTGTTGTTAGGGACCCTGTCGGAAAAACGACAACCGTGAAGAAAAAGCGCTGGGCAAATGAAGTTGTTTTTTAGGTTACAGGAATAGCACAACACACTATGTCTACTACAATACAGTTTCGTTCGAAGGTCCCCATCATATAACACCTTTCAATCGATTCTGCAACTGTGAGTGGAGGAGGGATGCATGGCTTATACCAATACCAAATCGGATGATGACGATTGCTCCTATTCTTATTGTTTGCGTTCAAAGATATTGTTCTAGACACATTCCGAGTGTTGCCAACGAGTCACACTTGCAATGGTGAATGAGGGAGCGGGTTTCCAGGTGGCCGGATCCGACCTCGATAGATCCTCGACGCAATTATCTCTTCAACCAAAAAGCTGTAGAAGAAAACTAAACAGACCATCAGGAAGCGCAAACCTTCCGCTTTCCAAAACTACCTTCCCTTTTTCAGGATCTTACAATATAAGAGATATATTGCTCTTGAAGTGGCAAAAACTCGCGTGAAAATTTGGGCCTCCTCGACATTTACTCGACGAAATTTGACAGACCCTATCTTTCTGCAAGGAAGGCTTCCAGAGCAATTTCGATGCTTGTTGGAAACGCGAAATCCAGCTCTATCTAACTCTACCTCAAGCTGCTTCAAAGGTTGTGAAATGGAGGAATGCAACCTTTTCATCGAGGGTGTAGATTCGGACGTTTTTTTTGAAATTTCGGCAAATCTGACCCAGTGACAATCGCGCCGCAGCTGCCGTTGAATCGGCCTTTGATACACTCGGCTGTTTTGATATACTCAAGCAAGAATCAAGATTGAATCGCAACCCCGTGTCTTCAGGATTTCTGTGCGTTTCTGAACGAACCTCGCCTTGAGGTCACACAAAGTTAATGCCTCTTTCCTCGAGTCGATATTTCAGTATGTACACAAAAGTATGCAGCGATGGAAGACGTGCATAGATGACAAGATGAAGCGTCCTTAGCATTATTTTGCAGAATTTTTTTTGATTTGTTTTGCAGGATTTATTTTAATTGAATTAATTTGCTCTGTTAGAGGGGGTCGTGCCAGGATCTCGATTTCGGGGGGGGGGGTCGTACCTCTGCGACCACGTACTCGACACGATTTTCACCCTGATTCGAAGCTCAAGAGGAGGCGGGGGTGGACTCCAGTTCGGGGGGGGCCACTCCATTTTTTCTCCAATACTCAAGATAAGGATTAGAGGGCTCACGACACGTAATCGACTCATTTAAAGTAGACTTCTGATAAATATTGGTGTAATGGGTGAGAAACCCTGAAACGTTTTTCACATTTCCGCCTGCCATGACCCAAGGGAACGGTCCTGGACCAGGAGAAAGGACACCTCCGCAAAGGGCTAAGGGTGCAGGAGCTCCAGGGTGGATCACCTGTGCAGAAAAGTGGATGGGATGTGGGCAGGTAGTGTGGAATGTAGGACATCCACCGGTCCTTATCAAAAGTACGCTCGAAATGAGTCGTTCACTTATTATCTTATCCGTAGTGTTCGATAGCCCAAAGAACTGCTCTCTAGTACTACGGATAAGATAGCAATGGAGTGGCCCCCCGAACTGGAGTTTCACCAGGGCGGTTCAATCTTTCCCAGGGGTTGGAGACGGAAATCCTTGAATTATGTGTTTGAACGATGTTGTTTCTTGGATTTTCAACGGGGCCATGTATTTACTGACATAAGAAATACATTAAAGTTAGGCTTTATCGGACAATCCATTTTGAGAAGAAGCGGATATTTAAAGAGATTTCCTACCCTAACCCTGTTGGTAAGGATTGTATACCGTGCCCTGGAGGCACGAAGTTCGAGCATCTGGAAAAAATCAATCATGGATTCTGCAGGAACAATTTCAGACGATGGGGTCAGTTCCTACGCTGAAGAGTGTGAGGAGGCGTGAACGAACGGCTGGAGGTGGAGTGTTTTGTGACGTATGTGTGGTGTAAAGCCGTTGGGGACGTTGCCAGCACAACGTTCAGCAACGGTAAGGGGTACGAATCGTGACTGCCTATTAATCATTTGCCTGTTTCGCCTTTCAGCCCTTGTTCCGATTCTACCAAACTCTTAGATCGCAATGGCATACAGAAAGGGCAGAGAATGTACAGTGAAAATGTCATAAATTTAGGGCGGTTTATCCATGGATTATTTCAGTGTAATCTCGACGGGCGGACTGAGTCATCTAGGCATGAAACAGCTGGTTCCGTTCTCGTATGCGCCAACAAAATCGTCGTCATCAAAGAGAGTGGGAATGATGTAACAGTATGGAAGGCGATGATTTGGATAATCCATTTCCGAATTCTGGAATACTGAAAACGTGGCTGTTAACCCATAAGTTTCCTATTCACGCCCTCGTCCTCCCACGCACAATTGGAAGTGACTGAATCTACCGTATACTTCTCGTGTAATCGCTGCTGCTCTCGGTGTACCGCGGTTGATGGGGCGCTAATCCGGCTCACCACGCTAAGCCAAAATGAAGCTGCTCGCACGGCTGGATCGTTATCAGCTGGTACTCTAACTGATTATAGCTGAAGGGAAATAAAGCTAGATGTTTGCGATTTATTCAATCATGTAAGAAAGCGTGATTAGTCTTACTGAAGTAAATCCTCCCATAGCTCGTTGGCATTCCTACCAACACTTGCGAAGGATTCCCGGTGCGTGCTGATGCAATTCTCCGTCTGGTCTCCATGTCTGTTAGCAGTACTACTTCTCTACGGAGTGCTACCAGTGACTCTGACGCAAGCCGTCAAAAACGCTTCGAATCGGACGAATGTTGTAAGTCGTGCTTTCTTCGAATCAATTCAGTTATATACCGATTTTGTTTTTTGAAGATCCTAATCGGACATATCGGAGCGATCGGCGCGCTGCCAAACTATGAAAAGATCCTGGATCTTGCCAGACAAGAGCTGCTCAGCGACGGAACGCTCGGAGATGATTTTGACATCGAGTAGGTCACTTAGCGCACTTAACTTTTCATAGTGGTATCTCCAGTCTATCTGAAATCTGATTGGAAACCACCCTCCCTTTGCAGAGGACCAGACAGATATAAAATCAATTTTGAAGCCGTTTTTACGGCAATCAGTGGAAACTTTGAATGCTGCCTTACTACTGTGATTCAGGATCATCTCAAGAAATGGCTGTGGCGAAGCTTTCGAAGGAGTGGCAGCTGCTGCTGACCTTTATCACATCGAACACATCAACACCTTCCTGGGACCTTACTGTAACGCTGGTAAGCAAAAGAAAACCCTTTTATCAGCTTGGGGAACATTTCAAGAAATCGTCTATTTATTTAGCTCTCTCGCTTTGTAAACAAATTACTCACAGTAGTAAAGATATGTCGCTGACAGTAACCTTTCCATTCTTTCCATAACTGTCGCTCTCAAGTTGTCCTCCCGTACCATTTTTCCGTGAACTGACGACGAGGCAATATTTTTGATCTTTTTCAGGAATGATTTCCGAATTTTCTACTTCTTAAATAACCTGGAGAAGATTTGGTCCGATCCAGTCCGATCTTAGTTTTTGCCTACCAACAAAAGAATATAAGTAAAAAAAAACCACTTCTGCCAGCTACCGTTAATTATAGTTTTCGCTATCAATGGCATCAGTGACGGCAGTTTCAGGGAAGAGTTTTCACACTCTATGGAACTTTGAATTGAGATCTATGTAAATCGATGAAGCCTAGGATGAGGTAACAAATGAGAAGAGACAAAACTGTCACACAAACATGCCAGCCAGTGAAGTTATTAGCGATCAAAGTGGTCCCAAGATCGTTTCCCCGTGGTGGCAAAATTTTGCTGTTGCTGGGGTGGCGCATCAGGATGGTGCCAAATAGCCCTGTACCAGAAGCAGATGTTCGTCGTAAGGGGCAATCATATTCAGTGCAAGTACTCTTTTATCAAATATCACTGTACCAACGCTGCATTAGCAGCCAATTTTGATCGCTTACGGTTTCCTCGGCAATTTCGCGTAGCAGCTTTGCTTTTCATATTTGTAAGCACCATTTTGGGCCCTATCGATTTACCTAGGTCTCAATTCAAAGTTACATGGGAATTTGGAACACTTTTCCTGGCGAATTACTATACTGCTGGCGATTATGATTCCGAAGACGTGGCCCTGTAGCTGTGGGTATTTACATCATCCCATCTCTCTCTAGATGAGCACGATTTAAGCCGTAATGTCAGCTTGTGACGCAGCAGTAGTAGCTATCTCGCCTGCTTCGGGGAAAAAGGATGGAACGTATAAGAAACGAGCACGTAGGAAAAAGTCAAGCGGATAATAATCTGATTGTTTTTTCCGAAGAGTAATTGCTTAACATTCGAAATCATGGCATTATTCCACGACGTAATAACTGGATTATGTTATTGGCGGCGGACCCATAATTCCGGTCGAGTTATCGACATTCGGTTTTCTTTCGAGCATTTTCCTTTTGTGAAAATCAATAAATCAAAAATGTATAGCAACTATCATAATCACTGATATGCATTCATCTGCTAGGGAACAAATGGATGCATACCTCCAGAACGAGTGAAGCTATAGGATGAGGAGTTCGGGGATGTCGATTTTGCGATGGCTGTATTCACCGAGCTTTTTCCCTCGTAGCTGCAGCTTCAGTGCGCTGGGGAGGAGACAGTACGATGGAGCAATGTCAGTGCTATACGTCAGATGGTGATATTCGCTGGTCCAGCCAGTTTCCTTCAGAACATGGCGAGCTATCATTTGCAATTTGAAGACCGGGCTTTTATTTGGAGGAAGGAGATTCTGAGATGTTCCGAGCCGTCCTCCCGCACTGCGACGGCCATTGTGGAAATTAATCCATGGTTACCTCTGCTGTGTTGTCTGATAAGGTGAAACTCCAGTTCGGGGGGGCCACTCCATTGCTATCTTATCCGTAGTACTAGAGAGCAGTTCTTTGGGCTATCGAACACTACGGATAAGATAATAAGTGAACGACTCATTTCGAGCGTACTTTTGATAAGGACCGGTGGATGTCCTACATTCCACACTACCTGCCCACATCCCATCCACTTTTCTGCACAGGTGATCCACCCTGGAGCTCCTGCACCTTTGCGGAGGTGTCCTTTCTCCTGGTCCAGGACCGTTCCCTTGGGTCATGGCAGGCGGAAATGTGAAAACGTTTCCAGGGTTGTTCTCACCCATTACACCGAATACATTATCAGAAGTCTACTTTAAATGAGTCGATTACGTGTCGTCCGCCCTCTAACCCTTATCTTAAGTATTGGA